TTGGTTGGTGTTGTGGTTCTTTTGGCCGCCTTGGGACGCCCACGTCGACTCATAATCAGGTCTGAGCTGGTGTCGGTGTTCTGGCAACTATTGGCATGCGCAACACATCTCCCAAGGCGTGCCCTTGATGTGGCTGTGGTCCCTGCAAGAGCGAGCTGGGACAGCGGGAGCTCAAAGTCGGTTCCCGGGCCTTCCTGGGGTCCAACCGCACCAGTTTTCCGACCTGCGCCCAGCCGCGGCGACGCGCGGGCCCCCGATGGCCAATTGCCGCGGTGTCACGACGCCCTCCCCCCTGGAAGGGCAGCATCTTCGTCGAGCTCGCCGACGAGGCGCGCCTGGCCCGCAACCTGCCAGTGTACCGCAAGGTGCGGGCCATCGGCCAGGGCGCCTTCGGGAAGGCCTACCTGGTGGAGGCCGCGCGGAGCAGGAGGCAACGGGTGCTCAAGAAGCTGCCGCTGGCAGACGTCGGCCCCGAGAGGCGGGAATCCGCGTTCAGCGAAGCGCTGCTGATGCGGCGGATCTCTCGGAGCTGCCCGCTGATCGTGCAGTACGCCGAGGTTGCGATGAGGAAGCTAACCGCAAGAAGCAAGTAAGACCCCCCCCCTCCCCGGCGAAAGTACAACGCACCCGGCACCCCAGAGGGGTTACCCTGGCACCTCGCACCGTTATGTGAATGCAGACGAGTCTGCTCGCCGAAACAAGCAAACCGCCTGAGACATTCTCGCAATATGGTCTCCTTGTGGTTATGGAAAAAGTGCCTCGCCTGAGACATCCTCAGGAACTGCTAATTCGCATGATTATTCTTGTTATTATCAGTATTATTGTTCTTATTGTTACTCACATTCTTCTACTACATTTTATTATTATTGCGTGTATTGTATTATTATTACGATTGTTCTTGCAATTCCAATTGGGATACCACCCGAGCTGGGGCGCGGGATTTTTTTTTTTCGTTCCATCTGCGCGGTGCCAATCAGATCGTTCGGCGAAAACCGCCCCCCAGAATTAATTAATTACGGTGCTGTGCTAATGATAACGCCCGGGGGGTCCTTAATGGCTTCTTGCGGCTATCGATGCCGTCACCCTTGCCTCGGTCTTGCCTCTTTGGGCCTCTTGGGAGGCCATCGTCGCCACGTGAGGGCCCGCTTGAAAATTCTGTTCAGCACGCTCCCCTGGAGAGGATC